GTGGGTCGTTAGATATTTTATGGTCCTAATAGACGCATCTTCAAGATGGTCTCATGTGTGCCTCTTATCATCTCGCAACCTGGCGTTTGCAAAATTATTGGCACAAATGATACGATTAAGAGCGTAATTTCCAGAGTATCCCATTAAGACAATTCGTCTTGATAATGTTGGCGAATTCACATCCCAAGCTTTTGATGCTTATTGCGTATCGGTAGGGATAAAAGTTGAACATCCTGTAGCTCATGTTCATACTCAAAATGGCCTTGCTGAGTCATTTATTAAGCGCTTACAATTGATAGCAAGACCTCTACTTATGAAAAGTGAGTTGTCTACTACTGTTTAGGGTCATGTTATCTTACATGCAGCATCACTTGTTCGTCTCAGACCGACTCATTATAATAAATACTCCCCATTACAATTGGTATTTGGTCATGAACCAAATATTGTTCATCTTCGAATTTTTGGATGTGCTGTATATGTGCCTGTAGCACCACCTCAGCGCACCAAGATGGGCCCTCAAAGAAGGTTAGGCATATATGTTGGGTTTGATTCACCCTTAATAATTCGCTACCTTGATCCATTGACGGGAGATTTATTCACTGCAAGATTTGCAAATTGTCGATTTGATGAAACAAATTTTCCGCAATTGGGGGAGAGAAAAATAAACTTAAAAGTGAAATTGCATGGAAAATTTCATCATTATCTCATTTTGATCCACGCTCCCCTGTGTGTGAACAAGAGGTCCAGAAGATCATCCATTTGTAAAACATAGCAAATCAAATGCCAGACGCATTTACTGATTCAAAAAGGATAATAAAGTCACATATTCCTGCAGTAAATGTGCCTATCCGAATCGACGTCCCAAAAGGACCATCTACAAGTGTCATAGCTTCTGAATCACAAATACGCCTGAAGCGTGGTAGGCCATTGGGTTCAAAAGATAAGAATCCTAGAAAAAGAAGTACAAAAAATGACACTATAAAAGAATTTCACGAAGAAATTCAAGATCTGATTAATCCTGATATTCCTGAAGAAATTAGTGAACCCGAGACTCAAGTAAATGAAGAACTCTCAATAAGTTCTTCTACAGGTGATGGGATAAGTTTAGATCGATCAAAAATCATAGTGGATAATGTTTTCGCATATGATGTTGCACTTAACATTATGCAAGGAAATGAGGATCTTGAACCTCTATCCGTCGAAGAATGTCGACAAAGACATGATTGGCCAAAATGGCAAGAAGCAATTCAATCAGAATTGAATTCACTTGCTAAGCGTGAGGTTTTTGGACCAGTAGTCCAAATGCCTAGTGATGTTAAACCAATTGGCTATACATGGGTCTTTGTACGAAAAAGAAATGAGAGAAATGAGATTGTAAGATACAAGGCACGCCTTGTTGCACAAGGATTCTCTCAACGACCTGGTGTCGACTATGAAAAAACATATTCACTTGTTATGGATGCAATAACTTTTCGATATCTCATTGGTTTAGCTGTACATGAAAATCTTGAAATTCATCTAATGGATGTGGTTACAGCTTACCTTTACGGTTCACTTGATAATGAAATTTATATGAAAGTTACAGAAGGACTTAAAATGCCTGAAGCATGTAGTTCAAAATCTCGAGAAATATATTCAATCAGATTACAAAAGTCATTATATGGCTTAAAACAATCAGGGCGCATGTGGTATAATCGCCTCAGTGAGTACTTGATAAAACAAGGTTATATAAACGATGTCATTTGTCCTTGTATATTTATTAAGAAAACAACATTGGGGTTTGTTATTCTTGCTGTTTATGTTGATGACATTAATCTCATTGGAACTCCAGAAGAGGTTCAAAAGGCAATTGAATATCTAAAGGAAGAATTTGAAATGAAAGACCTTGGAAAGACAAAAATTTGTCTTGGACCACAAATAGAATATTTAGTAGACGGGGTCTTCATCCATCAATATGCCTATACTGAGAAAATCTTGAAACGATTTTACATGGACAAAGCACATCCATTAAGTACTCCAATGGTTGTCCGATCACTTGAAGTGAGTAAGGATCCATTCCGACCTCAAGAAGAGAATGAGGAACCTCTTGGTCGAGAAGTACCTTATCTTAGTGCAATTGGGGCACTTATGTATCTTGCTAATGCTACGAGACCTGACATAGCATTTTCTGTTAATTTGTTAGCAAGATATAGTTCTTCCCCTACACGAAGACATTGGAAAAGAGTTAAACATATATTGCGATATCTAAGGGGAACTAGTGATATGGGTCTGTTTTATATTAACAAAGATAGTGCAGATTTTGTTGGTCATGCAGATGCAGGTTATTTATCTGACCCACATAAAGCTCGATCACAAACAGGCTATCTGTTCACATATGGAGGTACTGCTATATCATGGCGATCTACGGAGCAGTCTATTGTCGCTACTTCTTCAAATCATGCTGAGATAATAGTCATTCATGAAGCAAGTAAAAAATGTGTATGGTTAAGATCAGTAATACATTCTATCAAAGAAAGATGTGGTTTGAAGTGTGACGTCAAGATACCCACAATACTCTTTGAAGACAATGTTGCATGCATAGCTCAATTAAAAGGAGATAGAACGAAACACATTTCACCAAAATTATTCTTCACACATGATCTCCAGAGGAATGGTGATATTGATGTGCGACAAATTCGTTCGAGTGATAATCCAGCAGATTTATTTACTAAATCTTTACCGGCCTCAACTCTTGAGAAGATGGTTCACAAAATTGGAATGAGGAAACTTAACCATCTGAATCGTGGTTTTTATCAGGGGGAGTAAAATACGCACTGTAATCTTTTTTCCTTAATCTAGGTTTTGTCCCATTGGGTTTTCCTAGAAAGGTTTTTAATGAGGCAACAAATAATGCGTATCAAAAGATATGTATACTCTTTTTCCTTCACTAGAATTTTTTTCCACAGGGTTTTTTTCTAGCAAGGTTTTAACGAGGCACAATATCTATGGACATCCAAGGGGGAGTGTTATAAATTCATTAAATAAGTGGATAGTCCATAAAGTTAGTACATGAACAACCATTCATATTCACTAGGTTACATGAACCTTTTTGGATAAGTATGCATCTATTTATTATGATACTTAATATGGTGATCTTTGGAATGATTTCTCACTCTATAAATAGAGTTGTTCATTCACTATTATAATATATATATATATATATATATATATATATATATATATATATATATATATATATATGAAACTTACAAATACTTGAATAAGAAGAAAGTCTTCTCCTACATCTACTTCTCTTATCTTCTTCTTATAATCTTGATTTTACAACAAGTGCGCACTTGTATAAAAAAGAGTAAATGGATATTATATGACAATTTTGTATCGTACGTGTATTATGTCATGCAAGACATGTGTGTCTACTTGTTCAATTTTTATATAAATTTATGTATCTTACTTGTGCTCACTCAACGTTAGAAGTCGTCGTTGTCCGCTAAAATCAAATTACGGTCATTTTTATGTATTATGCCTATGAAATACTTAGGACGCCTATTTCATTCTTGGCCTGAAGTTTTGAATTTGAATTCGAGATATAAAATGGATTGGGCTCCAATACAAGTTCCGAACATCAGCTAAAAAAACAATACTACTCCCTTTGTTTCAAATAATTGAATTGTTGAGAGTTGAGACATTTTTCATATTTTAAAATTAACTTAATTGTACAACTTTCAAGACTATTTTTAAAATATTTTTCAATGTTTACTCTTCATTTAGATTTTCGATGGGATGAATTCAAGAAACTTTAATTGCTTTGAATTATTCTAAAAATTAATTTGATAATAATTAATAAGGGAAAAAATGAAAAGTAAAGTCTAATTTATATCCTAATCTTCTTTTCGTAAAAATTATGAAACACCTCAACAAGCATGAAAAGTATTATGAAAATTCAATGTTTCATGAAATTTTCTATAAGTTTTTTAAATTTATAATCTTAAATACGTCACAAATACTCATTGCTAAAGTGTAAGTAGGAAGCATAAATGAAATTAAATTTGAATTCAGAAAGCAATTACTCTTTTAAAATCAGACCAAGACCAAAATTGAAATAAGGGTGAAAGAGAAAGTCTTTGTGAGCTACTGTTTACACTTGTCATTAATGTGTTTGTTGAATGTTGTACCAAATGGGAAAATGAAATGAGGAAAATGGCAACTGTTTAATTATTGCAGTAATTAATTGCAAGAGAAGCAGTACACGGATGGGGCAGATTATGGAGGTATCTAAAATTCTCAACTACCTTTCCTTGCCACATTTAATATCTCAATATTTCTGCACTTGTATGTATTCCAATATAACACTTCAATCACATATTTATTTTACACCTTCTTTAAGGATCTTTTTCTTTACACAAGACTAGTTAGTATTATTAATTTTGGTGTATGTTTATGGTGGATTGTACAATATAACTGACTTTAGAAGCAGGACTTGGGTACTAGGTGAAGGAGGATTATTGGTATGTTGCAAAATTTTCATTCAAGATTGATTCTTGAAAAGGTACTGGGTGTTGCTTTTTTGGTTTGCAAGTATAGAAAGAGATTGTGTTACCGTTGTGGACATTGGGTGTTTGTTATTAGTTGAGATATAGGTGTTAACATGTCTTTCAAGAGTATGATTCATGACATAAAAGGATGAGTATAAGAGAATTTCTCGAGATGGATCTCACTCTAGATTCGAAATTCAAATTATAATTATAAGTTGGAGATCATCTTCTCAACACATTTTGTTACACATGGAATGCTAACTCAGTATGACAATTTATAGATGGATAGATAAAAGTAAAATCTCACTAGGATAAGTGAGAAATTTATGAAGGTTGTATAATAATGTGACTTGAGGAAAATCAACCTGGTATCACTTTTACTATCAGCAATCGTTCAAGTAAATGTCAACCCCTAATATACTTAAATTTGGAACAAGAATTGAAAGCTTGTTTGTAATCGAAACGCGATTCTCCAAAAGTTGATAGATAAAAAGTCTGCCATAAAAGAAATTGCACAATTTATGGCTAACATACCATTAATATCCTAGGATGATTCACAACCAAATAAACATTTTTGCTTCCCTAGCCTAGTCTAAGAGGTTCATTCTGCTTAAAAATTTGTAAATGCAGCATATTACAAAAGAATTGCAAAAATAAAATAAAATTAATGAATCCACCTTCTATAGAAAGTTTTGAACAAAATTCCATATCAAACATCTCCTGATTGTTAGTTGCTTTCACTATGTTAGTGGACATCCAATAAAATTGGAAGTATACTTGCTTTCACAATGTCAATGCTTTCTGAAGTTGTAAAAGCCACACTGCTATGTGCATTACGCAAACCCGGCCTTCCAACAAGATCTTCTGTATCCAAAAATTGATCCAAGATAATAATGATCTCTTTTGCAACAACATAGACTCAAGAACCGCTTCAGATGAAACCCTTCCAATGATTAAGAATGACTCAAGAGAAGGCCCTTGAATCTGTTTGATGAAGAATGAAAGAAATATCAGTTGATCATTGCTCAAGTCGCGTTACAAATAATTCACAAGATGCTTCATGTGACATACAGGACCACCAACAAGAACAGGAATGGAACAAATACTTTCACCTATTAGTAACTCAAAAACCAGCTATTTTGGATACTTCAATGTTTCGCAACTGTTATGACTGAAATAAAATCTTTTGGGAAGACAAGGCAGGGAATTGCTTAGAGGTCGGGATCTTCCACCTCTTACTCCTCACCAAGGAACAAAGTGAAAACATGCCATATTGGGCTCAGGATTTTGGGGAATGGAATTGATCATATCATAAATAAGAAATAAAGAAAAAAATAAACCTTTTGTATAACAGCAGGAAGTTTTTCCTCTATTTGCTGACTCAGGACGGTGGACACTGGACAGTTAACTAAATGTCAAAAAAATAAGGGTCCACAAGCATCAAATATCTTATTTGAATAAGTTGGTGGACAAATCCAAGAAAAGAGGGTTCTCAGAGTTTGTAAGATTTTCATGCTAGTATAACCATATGAATTGTAGCAAAAATAAACTCATACCAATGACCCATTAACTGCTCGTAAGCAGTCGTTCGTCTTGAGCATTAGAAGAATAACCCGGGGCAATCTCCTCAGAAGTTCAGTGATTTGTGGAAAATATTGAGAAGCATACATCTGCATGACAACATAAATAGTTGACAAAAGCAAATGAAATTAGAAGTAATCCAAACCTTCATTGAGAGCAAACTTACTAGGAAAAGTTAAATATAAAAGAATTAGTTATTTACAAGGTAAAATAAAGACTTCTCTGTCACAAATCATTTTCTCTTCTTTTTATGTTTCAACATAGACCCAACACATGAGGAGCACAGCCAAAAGAAATTACATGATACTTTATAATGTTACCCCACAAAACACAGCTAAAGCTAAATGATCAGCCTGCTCATGACAGATCTCTCTGAAACACATTATACTTCCCAGAACTTCTGAAAATACTCCATGTAGACTATCCAGAAAAAGTAAAAGGAATTATAGAAAATAATTGCTAGATAATGAAGCTACGGAGAAATAAGCACTCTCCCTGAATCTAGGACAAGATGCTTAGCAGATTCATAATATTAACTTAGCTCCACACTATCATAGAATAAGTCACCTGCAATTCTGAACGGTCACCGTCTGTGCCTTTGACAACAAGATGATCAACTGAAGAATCTATCACTTTATTCCAAGGCCTCATTGTGAGAATCCCAGCAAACAATGCGTAAAGATCGTCTCCAGCACCCAGTTTTACACAGTTTTCCTTTATCCCATCTGCATCAGAATATACCAAAGCCTGCAGTACATACCGGATTTTAATGTTAATAGAACGAGTAAACCAATAGCTGAATGTACAACTTAGCAAGGATTTGAAAATCACCTTCCACAGTGCAGCATAGTTTATTCTGGTATTGTAATCAAGTTCTTTGTATAAACCATGGTCCAAAAGTATCAACTGAGGTTTTCTCCTTCCTATGCAAGTGGATAAATATTAGAGAAAGAAATTACAGAATGTCATCTTCATTGCTCAAGAAAACATTCAAATATTTTGGCAACTGGTAGATGTGTTCATCTCAGGACTAACTAGAAAAGTGGAAAGACGATTAGAACACAACAGGAGAGTAGATTCTGAAGAACCACCTTGCCCATTACTGAAGCAAAAGAAGACTTTTGGATCCCAAGTTGGAAATGCTCCTAACCCGAACACTTTCAGGGCAGGTGTCAAGAAAATAGATGGCATACATGCATGAAAATACACAATCTTTTATGTAAGATTTAAGTGTTTTACTAAACTACTGAAAGGACAAAAAGGATGCAACCACATACAAGAGATTTTAAAATCAACAACCAAGAAGGTTAAAGAGTTCCTATTCAGGTGCACCTACATCATTTATTCAAGTTCAAGTTGGAACAAGAATTATGCTCCATAAACAAACTAAAAACATCAGGATCAAGACCCTCTTTTCGCTGTTCTTTTTCTTCCTTTTAACTTACCTCCAAGTTATTCAAAAGGCTTTTGAACAAACACAACCATTTTTTGGGGCTTGACCAACCTACTTTGGTATTAGGATTGCTCAGGTTTTGGGCATCCGCTCAACAACTGACTTTGGGTATGGTTATTTATTTCCAGAAATTTGATCCACCCACCCCCAAATGAAAAAAAAAAAAAAGAAACTCTTGTTTTCCATGTAGCTCCCTACATTTATTAAGTGCTCTTTTGCTAATTAGTCCTACTGATTGTCCAGACTTTATGGCCAGGCAGTCCCTTTCCCCTTCCCTCCCCTTCTATTCATTTCATATGGTCAACAAAAAGATTCTCTTCTGCTTTTTGCCTAAGTTGGTTGCACATGAAAATGTTCAGATGATATTTCTCATGAATTTTAACCAACACCTCCAGTAATAATTTTTCAGAAGTTTTATGACACAAACCTAAATACAAACATTTTTCAAATCCAAATCGTTTTTATACTAAATCCAAACACACAATTGTTTCTGGAAACCAAATCCAAGATTAATTCTTCTAAACAAATCCCACAACCAAATCCAAATGGAACCATATTTAGCTTCTCATTCTAACTATATCTTGACCTATAAGAATTGTATTTTCATTAGGTGAAATATCTGCAATAAGCAGTGGTGACCGGTGGGTGGAGATAGGCCCCCCCTACAGTACACCCATCCATGCCACCTTATTTCCATCCTTCAAGATGGCTCACGTGCATCAAATTGACATAGTTTCAACTCCCTAACCTATATGCAGGCAGACACAGAAAACAGAAAATTATTTACCTGAGGTATGGTTGGTGGTGTAACTGATATAAACCAACAACTGCGAGCAATTTGCCTCATGATACATATAAGATATTTCAAGTTTCAACATGGGATAATTGAATTACAGATTTTCCACTAAAGCAAAAAGAAAAGTCAACTTTCAGCAATATCGAAATTTAACTTGAAATTCCTTGAATAGACAGCAAGTTTTACCATCCAACTCCATCAAGAAACAAAAAATATTAACACGATAGAGATGAAAGAATTACCAAATATGCTCCTACGACCAGAAGGCAAAGGGCGGACTAGCAGGTTTGCAGCATGTGGATCACAATGCACAAAACCATGTTTGAACATCATTTGCGCAAAAGTCTCACTAACCTACATAAGTGGTATAATGATCATTTAATTGTCACTACAATTGATAAGTATAAAACTATATCACAGAAACTAACACCTATTGATTCACATTTTTTGAAAGAATGTCATGACATGGACATCTATGCAAAAACAACAGAAATCAAATGGAATGTTCAATGTTGAGTAATGATTGACCAGCATGGTCCTCGACTCAAGTCATGAAATACCCCAGTAAGGCTACAATGTGAAATAGCATGATAGCCTAAATGAGTGACAAAGTCAATACACAGGTACCTGTTGAAGCTAAACTCACTCATTCTCTAACTCACCTATTTGAACATTGGAATAGATAAGCAGTGGTGGAGCCAGGATTTCACAAGGGGGTTTCAGAATTTGAAGAAGTAAACACACTCTAGGATCAACATCTACTATATAGATACACAAACATAATTTTAACCTTCTATATACAGTGTTATTTTTTCCCGATGAACCCCCTTCCCCCACTTGGTTCCGCCCCTGCTGATAAGGTGGGCTATAACCTTGGGACATTAAGCATTAAAAAAAACATGACCAATATCCATATTGCATATACCAAAAATAAAAGCTATAAACCTCCTTAACCAAGGATACTATGAAAGCTTGTCATTATCACAGAATCTAAGTTGCTCGGACTCGGGTGCGGTTGTACGATACGGGTGTAAATCTAGAGGTCGGATTTTTCATGGTCTAAATTTCAAGATTACGCGACATGGATCTATGTATGAATACGGGTGCGGGTATTAGCCTAAAAATGATTAAAATATCTAAGAATAGAGGTATAAATCCTAAATTAGGAGATATTATATGGAGAATTCGAGGAGAATCCGGGAAGGAGATTAAAGGGAAAGGAGTGATATAGGAATTTCTATATAAAAGGTATTCCATTTTCTTCAATTTCACCTTTGCTTTTGCATTGATAACCGAAATCATTCAAATATTATCCAGGTTTCCCCATCAATTATGGTAAAAGTACCCAAAATCTGTTGACTAAATCGTACACGGATCCCACACCCACACCCATGTCGTATCAACACAGATTCGGCACCAAAAGTGAAGAGTCCGAGCAACTTAGCACATGATGTCTTAATGTTGAAGTAAACAACTTACCAACTTTACAACATCACTTGGCTGAATTCCAAGCCTTTGAATGCTCTTCAAGTCATTTACTTGTGCAGCCTCCATATATTCCATGGTTAACAGCTTTGAAGTGCTTAAATTCCAATACACCTTTGGTGCATAAACGTAGTCTGCAATATGAGGAGACAGCTTCCGAAAGTTATCCATACATTTTATGCTGTTTTTGGCCTCAACCAAGAAATCTAGTTCCTGATAGACATCATATAACTTATCAAATTTTGTCATGTCAATAGTGAAAATAAAATGTATGACAAGCATAAATATCACAATAAAAGAAAATAATGCCCCCAAATACAGAAATTAATGAACAGCAGTACCTTGAAAGTGGAAACAAATCTTGAACATTTCTTAATAATGTATAAAGAAGATTATTGACTATAAGTATAAGAAAATTAAAAGAGCAAGCTTAAGAGAAATTAGTGGCAGAAAACAAGATGGTTTCTGCCACTTGTAGATATAATCTGCAATCACCAAACAGACTAAAGAAGTGTCCTATGTTCATATACCATCACAACATATTCTACATGTTGCAAGCTTTCCTTGCATCTATGAATGGTAAACTATTCCATGATTACATGCTAAATTAACTTTTGTGCAAGCAGGTGGTAGAAAGAAAAGTACAGCATCGGCTTGGTCTATGAAAGTTCAAGACCTCTTAAGATGAGAATGAAATCTCATATATTTATAACATTAAAACATGAAAATGGATGTTCTCTGACAACTTTCAGGGAATAAGTGAAATACAATTTCGATTAATTTAATCTGTAATCTCTTAAAGAAACACAGTGATATTTAAAAAACCATATTTGCAGACAAAATTGACTCGCATTCTCCGCTTACAAAATTTTAATCGTTATTAACTACTAATATGTTTTGCATAAGATTGTCATGCATCTGGTAATTTCAAGGATTATGCCTACTTTCAGAATGTTAAAACTCTAAGCATTTCAACTGATAGTTAAAGTTTTTAGGACATATATTAGAGAAGTACATTGAATAAGTTTACAGAAGCTTATTTTGCAAAAAGCTCTAACAAACTGTTTTGTATAATTTATTTGTGATTTGAGAGAGTTATCTTTTGCTTATGAAAAATAAGTAGTTATGCTTTGACAATTTCCTCGAAAATCTTTTTAAAAGACTCTCGCGGACAAAAAAATCACAAATCTTCAAGGAAGCTATAGATATCAAAACACATCCGCTGCATCCACAAACTTTTTTCCAAAAAAAAGTTTTCAAAACTCTATTCAAGTGTCTCTAATTTACTTTAAGGGGGACCTACCAAAGAAAATTTTCTTTTCAATGTGGAGAAATTTTAAACACTGAAACAAGAACCAGCTAGGAGAATACTTCCTCCGTATGTACAGGAGAAGGGAAATCCCGTGTACAATCTGTACAAAAATATAAAAGTCTCCCACAAATATATGACTTTGAAAAGGAACAATCATATGTATATAGGTATTAATGACCGCACCAAAATGTTCAAGAAACAAAAAAATTCCAGCACATGGGGACAAGGGTTCTCAATGCTTTCTCAAGATGCAAGTTTAGACGACATCGAGATCAAAGGAGCTAGAAGACACAAGAAAAGTTGGAAACTTAATAAAAAGTCTGTCGTAGAAACATGGAGTGCTCACAGAATTGAGCACCCATCATGGATAAGTGAAATGGAGAGCAGTCAAAAATTGATACTAGGACAATATGACTGAGTTTCAGTAGCTACCTTAGGTATACTTTCACGAACTTCAGCAATCAACCACCTGCATTCTTCAAAAGGTTGGATCAGAAACCAAAGCTAGACCAGAGTAAATTAAATAGGAACTAGACATTGCATCATGAGTATTCCTGAACCCATTTAGAATTAAAGGTTTAGTTTTTACTTTGAAGCACAAATCTGATAAATGCAATATACTATATTTCTATATACAATTAAAGGAAAAATGTCACAGTATTGTATATCTACAGAAGATGGTAGATATTGGTTTACACAATACACACATGCACACACACACAAATGACTCAAATTCAGATTGGTATTGGAACATTGGCTCGTTGCATATCCTCGATGTGATCATGTGAATTGAGAAACTAGAGTGGAAAAACAGAAAAGTAATATGCAACTGACAATTTGGTGGACCTAGACTTGGAAGCTAACATATATAGCCTGTAGCCCGTGGAAGACAATTGTAACAACCCATACCCTAGATAAACCAAAATTCAGATTTTCCAGAAGTGCAGGTGCCATCTACGGATCGTAGTGAAGACCACGGTCCGTCGATCTTGGTCCACAGAAAACTCAAAGATCCCAAACGACAACCAGGACATACGGATCGTAGGTAGGACCACGGTCCGTGGACCAAGTCCGTCGATCATGGTCCATAAACCCATTCTCTGAACCAAACGACGAAGGAACAAGACGGACCGTAGGTGGGACCACGGTCCGTTGATCATGGTCCATAAACCCACTCTCTGAACCAAACGACGAAGGAACAGGACGAACAGTAGATAGGACAACGCTCCATGGACCAGGTCCGTCGAATCTTGGTCCAAGACGACGGCCAGGACCTACGGACCGTATTTAGGACCACGGTCCGTGGACCAGGTCCGTCGATCACTCCGACGCAGTTAATTTAGGGGTCTTTTCCTATTTCGTTTAACCCCTAAGCTACATCGTTTAGACCCTAAATTATGAGGTTTAATTCAGTTTAAGCCTAGAAACATAATTAAAACTTACCTAAGTCAAATCATTAATTAAAACTTAGAAAATTAGAAGCAAGAAAGGAGAAAAAGGTCAAGAACCCTAATTCAAGAACGCATCAAGGTTCCATCGGTTGCAGCCCTGAAATTAAAAGATTTCTCCGTGGATTTCATCACCAGGTTTGTGGTATTTCACTAGTGGGTTCCTTTCACTCATTGGGTCCCTAGTTTTCAATCAAATTTTTGATTCCCCTAAGGTTTCTAGAACTTCAACAGAATATCATGAATAAGTTAGTTATATGTTCCAAATCAGATTACCATGTTATTACTCAGGCTATCGCATGAATTTCAGAACCTAGCTATCTATTTCTTTAATTGTTGAACTACACATGCTAGGTCAGATATTTCGGTACTTCAGTTATACATGACTCAGTTATTAATGTATTATTATTAGATTAATTGTTGCATGTTCAGTTTTGAGCTATCCAGTATTACATAAATTCAATCACAATATGTTAATCACTTAATTCATTGGGAGTAGCATAATACTGAGTTGGACTAGGGTTTAGCGTACCCAAATACTCCCAGAACTACTAGCCAAGTAGATTGTAAGTCCCCTCTGTGGGCATCAGTTTAGTGATCACGTCAACATGCCTATACCTCTGGCAGGGCATATTGGGTCCTCTCGATGGGGCGTATACATTGAACTACACATTTAGCTCATGTGGTTTTATTATCAGTTATTAGTAACTCCCACAGTTCAGTCAGGCTCTATTGCATTGACCATATTTACAGTCCAGTTAGTATTCAGTCTCAGCATGTCATAAATTTGGTCATTACATCCAGTTAGCTCAAAATTCAGTATGTAACGTTCAGAATATTATAGTTGCTTTTGTGCTTGTTCAGTTATGTTTTATTTCAGCTTTATTCTATCCTACATGCTCAGTACCTTCCGAGTACTAACGCATACGTGCACTACATCTTCTCGTGATGTAGGTTCAGGTTTTCAGCATCCAGGTCACGCTTAGATCGATTCTTGATCTCCAGTTCAGCAGAATCAGTGGTGAATCCTCATTCTCCGAGGACAAGATTCATGAGTTCATTTCAGTCTTGTAGTTTCACTTTTTCTAGACTTAGTTGGGGCTTGTCCCATCATTTCTAGTCAGTTAGAGACTTATTTCAGACATAGCTAGTTTCAGCTTAGTATTAAGTTAATATTTTCTTTATATTAAACTCATCAGCTTTTCAAATATCTCAGTTATAGTATACGGGTATTCCCCATATTTTTCATTTTAATTATGGTTTAACTTCCGTATCAGTTTATTATCTTTAGTATGTTCATGATCATGCAAGCAGGGTTAGCTTGGGATCACTTATGGTCCTAGGTCCCGTGTCCGCGTCTCATGGGTAGCTCGAGGCGCGACAACAATGACATGCACATTAAGAAGGGAAAAATTTATTTGTCCATTTGTAACCTTTTTTTTTATCTTCTTAAGTTGAAATTTGGTTCTAAAAGTTAAATATATGTTAAAATTAAGCGGGTCAAATTGGGTAGGTCACGACTCAACTCGATTTTAAGCCCAAAGTAAACTTGGATCGGTCATGACTCAACCCGAATTCTATTTCAACCCATTTTAATATCTCCAATTTCAACCCAACCCCCCCATTTGACAATTGACACCCCTAGTAAAAAGTAAAAGTATTCATAGGAAAAAATACGTAATGATAAACTTAGATAATAGGAAGATGAACATAAAGTGAGTCTTACTAGGATTATGGTACCTAAATAAAGACAATATTGAATCTATGTTTGAATTTTCAAGAAAATGACATGATATAAAAAAGTAATACGAACTAAAGATAAGTTGAAATGGAGGAGCTGAAAGGCATAATATATTTGGTGAATTTAGCTCCTTAAGACGAATGAAGACGAAAAGAGATATAATGGGACTGTGGTGCCTATATGTAGACAATTCATGGCATGATATGACAATGTAACAAGTGAAATAAGAGCGACAGCAGTAATGTGATATGGAAATGCAATGCGATATACAGACACCTAACTAAGTGAAAGGCAGGTCAACAAATCAGTATTAAGGCCAAAAATGTTGTTTTGAGGTGCGAATGTTAGGCCTATAAGGCCGTAACGTATTAACAAGATAAACGTCACATAAATGCACAGGTTAGGATGAATGTACAACTAGATTGCATCTTATAGAGGGTGGAACTAGCATGCATCAAAGATTAAATGAGAGAAGACATCTGAAAACCATATACTACGTAGTTGAAGGCGTTAGAAGGGACACAGTGAATCTAAAATCACAAAGAAAACATCTTCTAACAGACCTTAAGCCTCTCAAAATGATGCGGACTTAGCAAACCATACAACATAACAGAACAAAGGATCCGTATTGCAAATAAAGAGTGGCTAGTTGTTGTTGTTACAGTTACATTAGGTCAAGTATTTCTCAAGAGACTTTATTCTAAAGAGAGACCTGCATGTCCATATAGAGAAAAGTTTGAGACGAAAACACTACCCTTTTTTAAAAATATTGGTGAGATGGACCTAATAAAGTAGAATACATATGAAAGGATTCAGATGACAGACCACAACTAATTTGGGATTGAGTAGTAGATTGCTATCGAGTGATTGATGTACATGATGCTAAGTTCATAATACTCTCTTGGGGAAAAGTAATTATAGGGAACATTATCCACCGAGTTTTGAACCATCCCTCACTGTTTCTAGAATTTCAAGTTACAAAAGAAATACTCTCTCTGGAAAAACTTTTTAGAAGTTTATCGAACTTGGTGAAAAGGAGAATATTTCTAACCTGTAATCAAAGGAAGGAAAAAATCGATGCAATGTGTTCACTATCAACTCCACAGTTGCATAATCTGCTGCAGCAGTATCTGTCATATGTGTGTGCTGAACCTGCAATTAGCAAAATAAGAGTGCTATAAGTTTTGGAAAATTCTCCACTACCAATTTATAACAATATCAACATTTAGGACCTTGACAGCAACTTTTTGCCCATCACGCGTTCGAGCAACGTGGACTTGAGCAAGAGAAGCACTTGCTATTGGTATCGGATCAAATTCATCAAAGATCTGTAGACAAAAGTTCTAATTCAGTTGATCGCGCAACAATGCAACTAAGTCCAAGGATATATAAGCCATATATTCATCAAATTGACTTTATGTTAAACCAAATCATTGCTTTTGAGGAGAATCCAATAAATTAAGACATACTTCATCAGGTGCACCTCCAAGCTCTTTCTTCACAACTTCATGCACTTGATCATAAGAAGAATGAGGACATCTATTTAACATTGATTCCCTCATAATACGTACATACTCTTCAGGTACTAAGTACTCCTGAGAAAAAACAAAGGTCAAGTTGGATAAGCCCAAAGTATTGGGCAGTTACTTGTAGAAGCGAGAGTCTCCTTGTGCCTTGAACAAATATAAATATGACACAATTATCTATACAATAACCTAAGGAGAGAAGTTGCAAACCAGCTGTCCTAAATGTTGACCAAGCTTAATATAAATTCCACCATTTCTGAAACAAAGTTCTTCTAGCCTGCGTGCACCCCTCATGTGAACTTCATGTTTGGCTTTTGCTCTCTCTGCACTACCTTCTGGCAGTCCCCAGAGTGAATATTCATAATCTAACAACAAGTATGGATCATCTCTTAGTATATTAAAAAGCACTTCTCGTTTTAAAAAATCCTATATTATCACATAAAGGGGCAGTATTAGGAACACAAAAACTTCCCTAACATTACTCAGTAATGGCACAACACAGAAATAAGAACAACACCTCTGTTCTGTACTGCTTTTAATAAGTAGAATAAGTTTTAAGCGAGCATTGTGATTTTGGCCTTATTAGCTTGATTCAATAGGTGAGCATTTTGAATTGAATAGATAGATACCCTCAGCTTAAAGTAAAGCATTTCCAAGCAGTTTGAAAAGGAATGCAAAAATGATGGCATTAACAACAACAAAATAGTGTGAAATGCAGAGCAGTACAACAACATACAACAAAAAAACAGTAATGACAACAAATTAATGTGATAACCAAAGAACAAAAAGCACAAGTGATAACTGAAATTTAAGAACAAGAAACTATGAAATGCTAATACAACAGGTAAAAAATAAGGTCCAAGTACGACTATCAAGCATATCCTGCAGAAAACGAGAGAATCTTCAACTACCAACTAACCCTCTACCCAAATCTGTGACCTCCAAACTCTCCTGAGGTCATGTCCTCAACAAGCTCATTTATATAATCACCATTCGTTTTGATTCAGTTTGACAGAATTTCTGACCTTCAATATGCAAGACTCAATAAATTATTGTCCATGACTAGGCCAATGTTGCAAGGGACAAAGCACTTTAGCCCCACAAAAATAATCAGCTCAACAAGATCATACCAAAATTGGATAAAAGTGAAACTAAGAGTCCCATGTTCTTAAACATTACATCAACTGATCAAGCACCATTCATAAACTAACAGGGGTTCGAATTTTCAAAAGACCACATGTCTAAACTAAGTTACAATTATAGAGAGAAAAATATAAAGATCCAGAATCGATTAATATAAATAAAGTTGTACTTTTCTAGCCATGGCTACAAGCAGGGGAAAAACATTAAAAAGGATAGATTCTCAGGTTAGCATACCGAAGGCAATGGTGGCAGCAGTGACGGAATCGCGATAGAGACGGAGAGGGACATTTGTGCAAAGCTTAAGGGCCATGGCTGGGTCGTCGGAGCTGGCAATTGTGGCCGCCGCTGCTCCACCACCAAGGGTGGTGGTGGCCACTAACAGCTTGGTTGTGGCGCGCCACATAGACCTGCCAGCCATTATTTTTCCGACCCCTCCTGGAGGATTTGGATTTTGACGAACAAGGTAGAGAAATGGAGAAGGTAAATGCTACTACCCCTTCTCCTATATTCTATTACCAACGTAGCCCACCTACTTTTACGCATTTTTGTCCTCAGCCTAACTTCCCGTTCACCCTTTAGATTAAAAAAAAAATTGATTTTATTTGAATTTGATTTGACTTTAAAATTTTAACTATTTGATTTAGTTTTATTTTTGAAATGATTAAATCGAACTGATAAATTATATACATATGTTTGTTGTTATACATATATAATATATTATTAGTATAAATAATTTAAATATAAGTTTTCATCAGAATTTATTTATGAGAGCAAAAATTTTTAAGACAAAAATATTTATGTTAGTGATTTTATTTATATAAGTGTCTATGAAAATTTTCATTGAGATTAGAATGTCACTGTCTCTTTGTTCTAGGCTGAAATGATGAATCTTGAAGTTTTATTCTTGATAAATTTAGTGATAAAAAGTTTGACAATGTCAATCGTTTTAATTATATTCCATTTTGAATGAATTATTGTTTTTTTCTCTCTTTTGAATGAAACATTTTTTTATTTGTATATGATTAATAAGTGAATAACCAAATTAATTAATAAATAAATAAAAGTAATTTTGTTTGGCAAGATATGTGTGCTTTTAATTTTTCTTTCATAAATTTTCTTCTTAATTCGAGTATACTTCCTCTTTTCACTATTAATTGTCATACATTTCATTTTTAGAGTCAAATTTTAAAAATTTTGACTATCATTTTACGATATATTTTTTCATCATATTGATATGCAAAAAATTGCAATGTATAGCACTTTTCATATAGCTTTTAAATATCTAAATTTTTTTGTTTAAAATATTGAATCAATGTAATCTAGTTTAACTTTAGAAACTAGTCAAATTAACTTTCGAAAAGCGCAACATGACAAATAAAATAGATAGATGAAATAGCTAGTAACGTATTTCTTGAACAGAGATGATTTATGCCTCTTTGTAATATGTTTTATCAAAAAATGATGGGCATCACTTTGACATATCAAGTTGATCTTGAGGAAGAACATCTCTTGATGACTTGATGATATTTGATGACTTAGATATTTTTATCAATACTCAAGAGTAAATAGGACATTGAATACACCTTTGTAAAATATTGTACATTGATTTACTATTTACATAAAATGTTGTTCTTTTTAATTATATATTTAAACGACAACTGTTTTCAGTAAATAAGCTAATAATTTTGACTAGCCATAATATATATATATATATATATATAAAGGGAGGACCATGGCAATGTGTTGTGACACTTCTTTCTGGTCTCCCTTTACATTTAGTTTTTTTCTTCTTTTTTTTGTTTTTTTTAAAAATAAATTAATTAATATATTATAAAAAATTACTTTAATTTATTACAAATAATATTTTATTAATGGAGGATCATTTATAACAAAAACTCTTCATATTTAAAAACATATTAACGGACTTGTTCTACCTCTTCTCTCTTTTGCAATTTTAATGGATTTTTACGATTTGGTTTATTTTTTGTATTCCTCGATTCTATATTCAAATATAGTCACCCTTTCTAAAAATGTTTTTGTAATTTTTTGTATCATTCGATGCTTGCATCTCAAACAAATTAGATTCAAAATAAAACTATATTTCGTAACTTAATTGTATTTTAAAGTGTATTATGTTAAATATATAATTTGTATCACGTCATTTAAATTGTATTCTATGCAACTTTCAAATTCAAGACCATTTAATCATTCACGATGCAAATAAACTACATTCAAAGTAAAAATGTATATCGAAACTTAATTGTGTTCTAAAGTGTATTATGTTTAATATACAATTTGTATCACATTATCTAAATCATAGTCTAGGCAACAGCGTATTTGAAACTTCCTACATAAAAATTCATGTCCTTTCTATCTTTCAATTGTTGTATCAAAAACAAATTGAATATAAAATAAAACTTTCAATTGTTGTATTCAAAATAAATTGAATTTGAAATAAAACTTCCTATTGTTGTATCCAAAACAAATTAAATCCGGATAGATTTTCTATTGATCAAATTTTGTATTCAAAATAACTTCACTAATATCAATCTTAATTTATCCAGCAAAAGTGCTGATCAATCAACTTGAATCTAAAAAAAAAAAGGAGGATTATCAATGAAGAATTAAAATCAAGAATAATTATCAGTCGTAAATTGAGTTTGAAGTATAAGCAATTGGAGTGGGTGAATCCCTCAACCCCATAAAAACCTTCTAGTGAATTGATTTTCATGTTTAAGACTGAGTCATCAGCCAATTTATGAAGTTGTTTTGCAACAGCTAAGAAAAGTGGAAGGTCTGGGATTTGCTCCCCACTATAGAAGTAAACTCCATTTTAACTTTGAGCTTATGGAATATAGCATTAGGTTATTTCTTATGGAATCCTTATGCTAAATACATATTTGGGTAAAATTTTGAACATTACCATTAATAACAATAAAAGCAAACACCTAAAAAGCACCTAATCCCACACCCAGTAAAGCTTTAAAATGGGAGTTGAGCCTCAGATGTAGCATCTAATTAAATACACAGTTCTGAATGCAAAAAACATCTACACCTATGAGTTTTCCAACTTGAGTATACCAATTTGCATTTGTTAATTGCTAGAGAAATTGCAGCTCAAAAATCCTTACTAGCTATGTTGGTGCCACACCTGTGTTGGGTTCTGGCGAATCCAACACGCACCCCTCGACGGTTTTGAAGAGTCCTAGCCATGTAGCTTACTAGTACAAAAACTGAAACATGATAAGCTTGATTATTGAGAATAAACACAATCCTCCACAAACACTATGTAGACAAGAAATTTAAATAGCTCTGAACCTTGAGACTTGCATATCTTAGAATTGTTTTCTAGTTCTACTAGCTGTTGGAGACTAGGAGCAGTACAATCTCAGTATCTTTACAAGAGGATCAAGGGAGATCTTCAAAATCACATGTTTACACGAGAATCAGTGAAGATCCTGGCTTAATTGGAGGTAAGTTGGAAAAAAACAATAACTTCTGAGGCGATAACAGTATAAACCAAGCAGAGATGGCTAAAGCGCATGAACCACCTATGTTTGCAGCACGTCTCTGATTAATCCGATAGGTCACAACAGGGTTGATGTTGCAAGATGTAAGGCATACCATATACACATTACAGTTAAATCAATGGCCTTGCATATCAAGCGTCTCATCTAAACGTTTCACTCTTTCAATTCCATCACTAATCAAGAACCGAATTCTCTGCTTGTCATTGCAATTCCTATTATTCTCCATCTCTTGTCTTATAATCTGCCTCAAATCAGCTGCAAACGGAAAGGTCCAATTGAAGTCATTGAACACTAAATAAACAACATATTTGAAAAGAGAAAAAGCCTTACACCTAGAACCATTAGAAAGTAGAATCAGAAAAAATTCATGGGATAAAGAACAAAATAAAATACTCTTATGGCTGATAATTAGAGAAGTATGACGGATATGGATAGAAACAACATTTTGATTCACTCTTCATTTCAACATCTCTGCAAAAGTGTTACCTATACAAATTTTAGATGCAATAATGTACTAACATTTCTTTTTTTGAAATATTAAGAACTGACTGTTGAGTTCTTAATATAGCTCAGCAAAGGCCAGGGTTGCAATGACAAAAGGATACGAAAAATTTCTCGGGAAGCCCATTTACCAAGTAGTATTTCACAAGTAGTGACATATAGTTACATCTCAGTGTTTCATTGATGGACTCTCATCATGAAATTCTCTCTAGTTCCGTAGTAACTTATTAGTGGCTAGATTTAGCAGACACTGCAGGCTTCCTCTTTTCTACTTTATACACAAGATCAATGGCTCAGTCAACCAAAAGTGTAAACTTTTAACACATTGGCAAAATGAGTTGATCAAACTATATGATTGCAATAACAACTAACACACAGGAAGAACCCAAAGAGCAGAAAGCACAAAATAACAAAATGTGTCAAACATCCTTGTTATCTCAATTAGTTTAACTTAATAAAGTACAGTAGTAGATTCACCACGAACTAAACAACAGAAAATAGACTCACTCAACCAAGTATATGCCTCACCTTTAGCATGAGGAGGTGCTCTCCTTGAGATTCTCAGAGCATGTCGGTACAGCTTTAGTACTCGGGCACGAACAAGGAAGTCTTCTAATGAGAGAGCCATTACTGATTCCATCCAATGAAAGGGTTTCAGTTACTCAAAGACAGTAGATTCATTCATAATATATAAACAACAAACAATGCTTCATTTAATGAATTAACAAACCAGGAAACATAACTTTATCAGTAATCATGTAGTAAAATTGAGTTAGGCAAACAGATTACTAGGAGTGGAAAAATTAGCCCATGAAAACATCACTGGCACAACCCTACGAAGCTTGGGAGATGTACGTACCGCATATTTATTAACTTAGACCATCATGACTCGTCTAATTCAGTTTATCTAAACATTGGCTTATATGCAAGTCAAATTGTCTCATGAGAAACTTTATTTGAACTGCTTTAAAACGACTTATTTTAAAATGTTATATGAAGTCGAAGTCAACAAATACTCAGTGTAGTCCCACAAGTCGGGAGGACAACTAAACAAGGCAGGACAAACTCTTATCGGGCCAGAGAAGTGGAAGATATAAATGGGCACGGCGGGGAAAAACATGTTTTGATTATTTTTTGATCGATTTAGGGCAGGGCAGGATAGATAAGGAACAGATTTCTGATTCCTTAAGTAGGTTAGTAATATCATAAGCTAAGAAAGTTCAGCGATGGCACAATGAAGTATTATGAGTTGTTAATTTTCAAAACCACTATCCATACATATACCCCAAAATAACTAAGTGAGAGCCAAAAAATATTTTTAAAAAATTACAAGTTATGCTCCACAATTCTGTACTTTGTCAATGGAACAACTTTTTAAAATTATTGTACCTAGTAAAATACTTGAATTATGTTTCATTAGTAATGACTAATTTTGTTCTTAGTTAATTTGTTTACTACTTTTAAATGTTATGCAAGTGTGTGTAAAAATAAATGCTTTACTAATAACTGTTTGGGCCATGGATATGAAAAAAAATTCGACTAGGACTGCCACTCTCATAAATGAACACTGCAATGCACGAATCTGGATTTTTCGGGCTCCAAGCAACTACCAAACATTGGGTGGAAAAGAAAAAAAAAAAGAGATACTAAACTTCAAATAGTAAAGAGTGAAAGAAATTGTTAAATTGACATGAAAATTTTTACATACTAACATAAAACTAACTGTTTATGCTAATTCGGAACCTTAAGGTGTTTGTATACTAGATGTTCTTCAAGTTTGAATTAATCGGGCAAAATATTTCAGATAAATTATATTACAACAATTATTCAAAATTAATAATCCAGATGAATCAATTAAAAAGATATCAAAGGCTATTAAAGAAATTAAATTGAATATTACAAAATGACAAGTAAAGAGAAAAAAAAAATTAAAACAGACTAAATGTGGCAGGGAAAAATAAGGTGGGGCGGGACAAGGGAAATTTTCAAGACATAGTAAAAGGGGCAGAACAGGCGGGATCAATATCTTAGTGGCTCAAAGCTTGCCCCACCCCACCCCACCCTACCCCAAGTGTCATCCCTAGCCACAAGTGGAATTTGGGGAGGATAGAATGTTCATAGACCTCCGCGCTACCTTAGGAGGTAGAGAAATGGTATATGAAATCATAATGAAGAAAATAAATTACTAAGTGATTAAAAATTTAGAAGAAAATAAACAAGAAGAATCAAAACATGGTAAGAATTGGACGGGATGGGTTGTGACCCATGGTTTAGTCCATTTTAACCCAAACCATTTAAGCACAACGTAACCTTTGGTGGGGTCAACTTATTTATCAGCTCAATCCATTTTGACCCACTAAAATTCTACTCCCCAAAAAATTCAGTCAAACCTGTCCATATGACAGCACTATAAGTTACTAGGCAAGTGGTACAAATTCGGAACAACTGTATAATCACAAGAAAATAATGACCAACAACAATTAAGCAGCAATCTCAAGCTAGCCAGCATCTGCTATAGTGATGACAACATGGCGGGTCCGGTACTATGGGAGGTGACTGGTGAGTGAGCTTTCTATGTGGGCTGCGGCGGATGCTAACAGATATTACAGGGCGGGGTGTTTGTGGATTGAAACAAATTGCTGAAATTTCACTGGCATCTGGACTCTAACAAGACCCATTTGAGAAAATTTGATATTTCTTAATAAGAATCATGTGAAGTAAATCAGTCCGCTGCCATTGTTAGTAGGATAAGGAACATACAACCTGATATTCCCTAATACTGGTCAATGTTGAAATAATATGATACTTGCAAATTAACATGACTATTCAACAACATGACGAGCTCACAACTACATTTTTACAATACAAAAGAACTTAATTCATCCAGTTTAACTACGCACAAATATGATAAGAATTAACACTTCCCATTCTTTTCTAAACTTACTAAAAGTGTAAGGCAATTATAAAATCAATAGTATAGTCTTTTGAACAATAAAAAATGTAAGGACATGAGTATTGTCCGTCCAGCTGGTACCAATATCTAAGAGAAGTAGTGAATTAAGACAATTCTATTAACAACTTTAAAATCATACCAACAAATCTAATTTATATACCGGTGATTCCATGTATATAGGTAAATTTTAATTCTCCACACAGACTGATGTCTAAAGACATGTATGTATGTATATTAATTTGAACAAACATAAAACAGGCAAAGAGTGGAACAATAAAGTTAAAGCTAAGGGCATTGAAAACTTCAAATGTTTATAACACATGTTCATTAGTTTATCTCCTCCTTTCATCTCCAACAGCCTCACTTTTTAGAATATAGAATCAATTACATGGATAGAGCGCCACTAAGGCCCAACTTAAAATTACAAATCCTCCCAAGAACAAAAAAAAACCCAAATTCAGTTCCTTCAAATATGAAAACATACACAAAAAAAGAAAAAGAAATTCGACCAATAGGCAAAGATTAAACGAAGAACCAAAACCAGTGAGCAAAAGATGAAGGAAGATAGATACATACATAAAAGGAAGACAACGAGATCCGATGAAGGCGATGTAAAATGTTAATGCTGAGAGGCAATTGCGCACTTGGAAGGACCTAAATAGAATATAGAATATTAAAAATATTATGTATTTTATTCTTCTTGTATGTACATATTTTGAAATTTGATTTTACTATTGATGTAATTATAATTTAAACACAAAAGGGTTACATTTGCTTCTAATTTTTTTTGTTAAAGATAGGATCGTATTTATCTTTTGTTATATTTTTTTTATATATTTATTTTTTTTGGGATTATATTTATCTTTTATTTATTAAATCTCCTTATGTGACATCTACCTGGTTCATTTTCTCCTAATTAAATTTAAATATTATTTAAATTAGTGAACTGAATCGCACTTCACACAATATATTAATATTTTAAAAATTCAATTAAAATAAATAGTATTTTCCATAGATTCACAATTTTTTTATATATCAATAAATAATATCAAAAAATAAAATAAATCATCAAAATAAGGTGAAACAATATAAAAATAACCAGAAGAAAAAATAATTATTTTTTAAAATTGGATATGCCTCGTCATTATAAAAAAACAAATAACATTATTTACTTTTTTAAATTTATGTCTGGACACCTACTTAAAAGATACTAAAGTCATATCAGGGATATTGAAATTGTAAATGGACTTCACATGTTTAAAATCATATCTCGAATGAAAAAATTGTAAGAATAATATTTCGTATCTAATTTATTCGTTACGTTCTTTTTCCCCCTTATTTGTTATCACTTCAATTGCTCATTAAATATTATTTTAAACACTATGTTAATCCATAAAAATTACCATTACATGCTATTCAACATCGATATTAAAAAATAAACAAAGTGAGTAATGACCTAACGAAAACCTCAAAAGGAAAAAAGAAATATTAGCAAAGAATCGACACCCGTAATAACCTTTAAATATTATAAAATTTCGATATAATATTCAAATGTTGTTGTTGTTTTCGATATTATTTATTTTTCTTTATTCACTTTCTTTATACTTCTTTAGTTTTGAGCTACTATTTTGCTTACTCTTTATTATTATTTTTTTGCTGGATAAATGATTAACGTTTAATTCTCTATTTTGTGAAGTTATACATAAGTAATGTTTATATTATTACTTAATAGATGTTGGTGTTGCAACTTAAATTGCATAAAACATGTTTTAGTTAGGATTTAATGATATAGTTGTCGTCCCCTTGTTTATGTCTTTGAGATTATTTTGTGTTCATGTTTTAGTTAAAATTGATCGACAAAGAAATTATGGTCGATTTTTAAAGTTTTTTATGTTCCTATGACATATTTTTATTTTTAAGTTATTATTTGGTTTTTTTTTATTCATATTTATCTATTACTTACATATTTACTAAGTGTCTTTACAGGTACACAGAGTTGCTTCCCACTGAAGCTATTCAAATTAAGTTCGAATTATATTTCTCATTCATTATCTTGTATATATCAATGTTAGGCAAATTTTAGGCCGTTTTTCTATATGTTTGTTTTATTTTATTACTTGTCTATATCACTTGTGTTATCATACTTGTATATTATTTTGTCTCCTCCTGAATTTGAAAATATGAACTTAGTCGGGAACCACATTTGTGGATTTCGAAGGACACCTAACTCCTTCCTTTAAAATTAACTTGAACCATTATCTAGAATCACTTGGTTTCGTAGACTTTCTTAAAAGTTAATTTATTAATCGATTTTCTAGTTTTCCTGAAAATTTGATGGCGACTCCCTTTAATCTTTTTTTCTTTTCCCTTTTTACCCTTTTTTAATTCTTTAAAATTAATAACTATTTTTTAATTAAGTCACCACGACGTTGTTCCTATTCAAAGTATGTCAATAGAATAACGACTTCACTAGGGTTATAGAGAATCTAACCATTATGAGTTTATTTTTTAAAATTGAGGAGACTATTCTTTCATTGTGTTATTCATTATACCTTGTATATCTTGTTCATTATTTGCATATTATACTCATTATTTGTTGTGTATTGTCATGAGATAAGTTTTGTCAAATGACAAATAGAATGCATTAGAACAAAGGCGTTACGTGGCTTTCCACGACTATTCTTCAGAAAAACACCTTTGAATTCTTTTTTGAAGTGATAAACGAATAGTTGACTTGTGGTCATCCAACGTCGTTTATTATACTTCAGCCCGTAGTTGTCCAACTTGGCTAAACATGTCTCTTTTCAAAGCCTACTCTTAGTCAGCTAGAGTAGAGCGAAGTCAAAACCTCGTATTTAGCGCATTGTTTTGAGAAACACAACACTACAAACACATTTGTATAAAACATGCATTCATTGTTTGTATGTTATGTGATACTTGTTATACGTGAATATTTTGTATTATAGTGCATTATTTTAAAGACTCTTGCTAACCTAGTTTAGAATATTTATAATTCAAGTCCAATTTTTATTCAAGTAAGAATCTGGTGGAACTACGCTTGACCTGATTCCTGTTTCAACGGGATGCGTAGGCGCCATAAGGGCTCGATCATGTTCCCCGTAAGCTTTCCAAACTTTTAAAGTGAAAATATGAGCGAAATTTTTTGAGGAGGTCTCCAAAAATTTTACAAAGGAGACAATTGCTACAAGATTGAATAACGGAGGTTGTTAAAGATGAAACAAGGGCAAAACTTTTGATGCCATAAAAAATTTCACCTAGATTATACTCAGACTCCAGATTTGGGAGACATCACTCTGAGTTTGATTTTATTTATTTAACATTCCCTTAAAAATATTCTTTTATTTGACATTTGTAAAGTTTAGATTGTCCTCCCTACAATGTGACTCATTCATTTTTCATTTCAATTCCTCCCCTTCAAAAAATAAAATAAAATTATTTGACATTTTTTCAAGTTGGGTTGTCCGCCCTCCAATGTAACTCATTTATTTTTTATTTTTTTTGTTAGTTTTTCTTTAATTATAAAAAAAAGTTTTATTAAATTTGGATGGTCCGCCCTTCAATGTGACTCACTGATTTCGGCTCTTTATTCCACTTATTTTTCTTTCTAAAAAATCATTTGTTGTTAAAAAAATACTATTTATGTCATCTAAAAAACTACGCAAATCTGATTCTCATCAATAAAATACGTAGGCAGCCCTTATTGGGTTCGTTATTCTTTATTCAAAAGATTTATTATTTTTTATTATTTTATGATATATATATATATATAAAATCATTTTTTGACTTGGTTGGTGCCAACACAATTTAAGTGTACATATGAAAAATAATTTGCACAATTGAGAAGATTGACTTCTTGTAAAATCATAGATTCTTTTGCTACCTCTCATTCATACTATCATTACACTTGTAAATTCTCTTGTATGCGTTCAAGATTAGAACAAAATGAGATTTAGTGTTTCACGTGCATTGTGTGGTGAATTTTGCATTAAATTAAATTCTTTTTAATTGTTGATCTAGAACTTGGTCTAAATGTTATTGAGACAAAATTTTGAGTAATGTTTGATTCAAAAAATGATTGTAGGCCTCATTTGACCCGTTTGAACCGTTCAAGGCCTACCAAATGACATTAATCCTTAGTATGTCCCACTTTGAGATTTAAGCCTATTCTTTGCATAACCACATTTTAGCCTATACCCTTTCTAAGTGCTGATATACACTATTCCTCTTTTGGCTGGACTTTCTTGAGCGCACTGAATACATGCAAGTTACAAAGAAGATCCAAAGTTCAAAATTTGTCAAAACAAAAGTTATCAAAGTCGTTGAAAGTCAAGAATACAAAAATGACTTCAAATAAAGAAGAAAAGTTTATTGGGTCTAAGGTCAATTTTAGAGTTTTTTTGAGTTAGGTTCTTGGGTACATTTATTGGGTATTTGAATCTAAAGCGGATTTGAGAAAAAGAATCCAATTTAGGTGAATTGGGGTTAGAAAATGAAGAAGGAACAAGTCGGAAGAATCTGAGTACCTGGTTCGAAGGATTGCAAAAATATTTTGCGGAGCAATCACGGACTTTTTTGCCTCAAAATTTATTTCACTATCAAATAATTAAATGCATCTCCGATTTGTGGACTTGCTACCAGACAATGATTTCTTGGTCTTTTCTCATGTTTAACTATCTAAAAACACTCTTAAATATCACAAGTCCTTTCTTACCACAAATCACAATCCCTGAATCCATAATTCAATTCAAGGGAAGTTAAAAGTCAAGTCAAGAGAAGTTAAGAGTCAAGTTAAGAGAAGTGAAGAGTCAAGTCAAGAGAAATTCGTAGAGTCTCCCAAGAGTCTTTTACAAATATTTTGAATTTGTTTTAAGACTTGAGTTTTGAGTTGAGTAAAGAGTAAAGTTTGAAGTTCATTTCTTCAAAAGAGTATATCAGGATAATGTATTTCCAAAAAGTAAATGTTTTCACATTTAAAGAAGAAAGGAAACCTTGATTTTGCAAAAGAGCCTTTGAGTTAGTTTTTTTTCCAGTAAAGAGCCTCTAAGCTAGTTTTTCAATTAAAGAGTAAATGTTTTTACAACTAAGCAAGAGAGAAAACTGAGATTTTCAAAATAGTATTTGAACTAAGTTTTTTAACAATTATCTGAAACCACAGAAAGAAGTATGTTTTTTTAAATACATAAGAGTTAGTATATCATATTTTGGCAGTATTATTGAGTATCGATACGGAGGAGAGTTCAAACATCTCACATCCCCATAAACCATGTAGTCACCATGGTTAGAAAAGAGTCATACTTTTTAGATGATTCTTTAGCGCTTTTTAGCATAGACTAGTGCACCCACTTAGTAGTTCAGGCTCTATACTCAAGGAAAGGTATAAGACGACTCTGGCAGCGTGAGGCAAAATAATGTATCATCACGATAGCTCATAAGTGATAGTTTTCGATTAGAGAAAATCCTACAAAAGTATTTTATATTTTTATATACATCAGAATTATTTGTATTTTCATATACAAACAGAGTTCATATTGTATCGTTGCATACATACAGTTTATCACTGTATTTACAAATACAAAGAGTTTAAAATCATGTTTTAAAACTTTTCTTTATAATGTATTTATTTATACTGCTTTATATTAAAATCAGTTCAGTTGAGACCTAGTTCATTTCTTCAGTTCTTTTCAAGCTCATGTCTTGTTTTAGAATTCCCCTCGCATACTCGTACATTCAATGTACTGATGTCATTTGGTCTGCATCTTATTATGATGCAGACACAGGTAACCAGGAGTAGCATCCAGCGTATCGTTGATTCTACTTGAGCTCCAAAGTTGTTAGTGAGCCTCCTTGCTTCCGGAGGATCCCCTTTTTATTACTTTATCATTTTAGTCCATGTCATGGGTCTTGTCCCGACATCCATCTCAGTTGTTTAGACAATTAGTTAATTTCTTTGTGTTTACTTTGTTATTGGCTTATGTTCAGATTTGAGTTGTCATTTTGGTTAAGTTAAATGTTTATTTCTAAAACATAATGAGTTAAGTTTGAAACAATTGAGTTATCTTGCATTTGAGTTCTTTTCTTAATGCTTAAAGCTTTTTGCTGAGTAAGTAAGTCAGATTTGTCAAGGGTTCGCTTGGGGCCAATAAGGGTTCTCAAATATCATTGACTTTTTTAAAAGCACTTTGCGTTCAAGATGGGTCTTTCTTTTGCTCATTGAAATGTCATTTTCTTCAAGAACAATTCTTTAACAGTCTTTGGTGGAAACCTGAAAATTAAAAATAACGTAATTATCAAATAAAGAAATCAATATTTTCATATTAAAGTAAAATAATTTAAGGATAATATAGTATCTTGGCATTTTTTCTACATTAGAACAAAGGAAAGAAGCAATCATCTCAACATTCAAGTTGAAATGTCCTTTGCGGAACGTATCCATATCATGTGTATGTTCTTCAGTGTATCTTCCACCTTTTCACATATTATTATGTTAATTTTTTAAAGAAGTCGTCCTAAATCGACATCCTTGTTCTGCAAACCTGCAAACAAATCGTCATAATTTTTTGTCGATTTAATAGTAGAGTACTCCCTTGGTCTCTTTAACTGTAGAAACTTAACTGCTCTTTATTTTGTAATTATTTCTTTGAATTGAACAACATTCTTTTTTCCCAATATAAATAGCACCATTTATAAAATCTTATGGTTCACGCCATGTACGTTGTGATGTATATTCATCATGTGTATCAACAAAGATATTTTGATCATTCGGGAGATATCAAGATAATGATTTCATGAGAACGAAACTCAGGCATGCGTATTGTGGGTGATGTGACTATTAATTATTGAGTCGGTAGTGGAAAATATTCTTTGCAAGGAAATGAAATCATTGACATTGATTTTGGTGATCGATTGGATGTCGCAAATCATCACTAAATGATGCCTCAAATGGAACAATATCTCTTGATATCTCTGCATTAAACAAATTATCACTATCACTAGTTGAAGGTGAGTCGTAATTTGGAAGGTCATAATCATTGATATTCACAGGATCAATAGGTTCATCTTGCATGATATTTTCCGTATGTATAAAGTGTAAACATTTACCTCATATAATAAACTTACTCAAAAAATTAAGTGTTGGACGTACCAATAATAGGCATCTACATAAAAAGTAGGCAACACATGAAATTTTAAGAATGTCCTAACACTTTCCGTCATTTCAAAGTGTAAGGATTGACCAAAATAATTATTTAGTCCATAAGTTGAAGCAATATTCATCTCATGTAAACCGCTATAAAATATATAATAACAATAATAATAAATCATATAAATTAACAAATAAAATAGCCAAAATCAACAAATAATATTCAAAAGTAAAATTGTTGAGCATTACTAGTTACTTTTGTTAATAGTTTCGTTCAAATCAAAATCATGTTGATCGGTGAAAATATTTTGATAATAGGTCAGTTTGAAAAATCATTGTATTGAGTTATGGGGAATCTATCATGGCTATTACAATTTTCTAATTGAGGATGAACATCAAGCGACAAAAAAGAATGTCGGTTACTAGTCTTAAGCTCATCTTTAACAAAGATCTCTATAAGTTGGTTTGATATATGTAGTCGTTTGGAACCCTCCAAGAGTCTGTCAACGATTCGTCATAATAGATAATCCGTTCGACAAAATTTACTTGTCATTATAATAAAAAGTAGTAGGCTATTTTAAAATTATAATCAATACAATTTATACCCATTCTTTTATAAATTAACGAAAGAAATTTATCATATCAGACATTATGTGAATACTTAACATTCAGTTTGAGATGACAATTAGAATGAACGATATTAATTTCACCATCCCAATATATTAAAACTCTAACTTTTCGTTTAATTTTTTTTTTTGTGATTGAAATGAAGAAAATAGATATTAAAGGCATTGAAGGTGTTCTGTTTGAGCATCCTTAAATAGAGTTTAAAGGAACTTTGAGATTTAAAAAATAAAATATATAATGTAATAATTTTTTTATTGTTTTGATGATATATTAAATCAATATAATTGCATGAGAAACACCGTAAAAACTACATAAAGAGACACAATTTAATGTCAAACTGACAAAATATCCTTTTTTTGTAAAACGCTTTTTTTTCTTTCATTTTGAAAAGTTACACTTTATAAAGTGAAAGAAAAATGTATACTTATAAAGTGTAAGAAAAGTTATATTTTATAAAGTGTTTTATATTAAAATATAGACGTTAACGGACTAACGTGTTTATATTTTTGAGTAAAACTGAATAAAAATCTGCCCTGATCTTATTATAGTTTCTTTTTGAAATCATGACTTTGTATTGAGTTGTGAAATGTTTTACACTTGGTTGGATTAGTTTGTAAATGAGAGATCCTCTATTTATATTACTTTTTAATAGCCTATATATAAATAATATTTACTTTACAAGTCCCTATATAGTTATACTTTAATCCCTACCATTTAATGTGTGTATATGCTTGAACTTCTATGTGAGAGTAAGTGAATTCGTATGATATAAAATCCCTTGATATGATATTTATTATTCTGAGTAGGATTCTATGTTGTGTTTACATTTCAATTGAGATCATGAATGTAAATTCTTAGGCAAATCTTTAAGGTTGATATCATTGACTTGAGATGCATGAATTGTGCTTAGATAAAATATTGCCCCTGAATTTTGTTGGAAATAGTTGATTTCAAATGAAAATACTTTTAAAAGAAGATGAACTTTGTTTTGTCATGATGGTGGAATGAATTGTAAGCAATGTTTGTATTTGAAGCTGAAAAGGCATCCTTTGAAAAGTCTCAAGGATACTATTGACATACTTACAAAGATAACCTGCAAAATTATGGTGAAAAAAGAGGTAGAATAAATATTTTGAGGGCAATTAAATCTTTAATCATGCTAATTAACATACATTAAAAACTGTGCATTACTATTATATAATAACCAATTGCTCAGAATAAAATCTTCCTGATTCCCCTTGCAGATCAGAGGAATGTTAATCTCTGCTCAATTCACTACAAATAATTTAATTTTCTAAGTATATGCTAACACCTATATACTATTGTCTTATTTAACACCTTTCATACACCTCCCTCCACTCTGCATTCTACAATCTCACGAACCCTTCTCTTCTTCTTTCTGCTCAAACAAGCTTCGATGTTGGACGTTAATTGGATATCGCTTCAGCATCCTTGTCGTTGGGAAGAAAACTAACTTATCTGCCTCAGCCGGAACCCAACTGCAATCACCACCAATATAAGTGTGCTACACTAATCATAGTATTGCATATGTGGAAAATGAAATCTACATAGCGTACCTAAAACGAGTCACCAAGTGGTGAAGGAAAACAGAGAGTTCCACTCTAGCAAGCTCGTAACCAGGACATCGACGAGGTCCACCACCAAATGGTGTGAATACGTTAGGTGAGCTTGTCGGTCCTGCACTACTCTGTATGTTTTCACACATTTTGATAAATGGCGAGTTAACACTTGTATTCAGATTTTATATGGAATAGAGTGAGATGGAAATATTAAAACACCTGCCACCTCCATGGATCAAATGTACGCGCATCTTTGAAATGTTCATGGTCTAGATGAACAGCTCGGAGAGAAGCAAAAACCTTCCAACCTTTTGGAATGGTATAACCTGAAAAAAAATCATATATTTAAACTCTTTTAGTGACAAATATCGATCATATCTTGTTGACAGTAATAGAACTAATCAAATGCCTGGATGACCCCAAACTAATGACATTAGAACATGCTATTAACTGATACGGATTTTACTTCACACATGTAAGTTCGAAGTATTGCATTCAATATTGGAAGTGTCAATGTTATAAACATATCGAGAGAGGAAGAATACAACATTTAGTGGCAATACATTTTCCTTTTAGCAACAATTGAGTTCATATCACAAAAGCCTTTAGCAACATTTATAAGGAGTTTTGGCAAAATTCTTTATTTGTAGAGAAATCTTCCCTTAAACCACAATTAAGGTAATGACAACTTACCTTTGATATTTATGTCAGTCATGGCTCTCCTGAACACTCCACTAATTATGTTAGCGATTCGCAGAGTTTCATTAACAACCTGAAGGTGAAATCATAGACAAACTGATGACATGAGAGCATAATAGATTATAATGTTTAAGCTGAGCTTGAGTTTGTTGAAGTAATGCACTTACGCATTGAGTGAAGGGCATTGACTTGTAATCTTCCCATTGTAAAGACTTAACTTCACCTTTTCTTAACCTGATCTCCTCGTGCTCTTCCTGCCAAAACACGTTGAGTTATAATTATAATTGCTTAACTTCCTGGCTAATGATTCTTTAATATGTATAAATCTTGGCTAATGATTCTATTAAAATGATTTTTTTCCCGGTATAAACACAATATGATCCAATCTCATGATCGATCCTGTGTCAACTCAAATTTACTAAGACCAGATTGTTTGAATAAATTATACTCTTCCATTCGTTCACTCTGTGTCCCTGTTTAACATATAAAAGATGACAATCACCATTATTCATTCCCAAATCAATTTTTGAGACTATACACCAACTAATATAGGTATTATGATAAAAACATGCACTTCATTTGTTAAAAGGGGATAATGCAAACAAGTAAGCTAATGAATGCTAAATTACCAAACCAAATTAGAATCACATAAAGCAACAAAGAAACAATCACACTCTTTACTGGAATGACTTGGGAGATCCCTGTACTTGGTTCCGTTTGTCAATTAAACCCACATACTTATCACTTTGCCAACTAAATCCTTAAACTCATTAGAACACTATTAAAGCCCTTTCCTCATCCAGTCAATGGATTACACAAATACGTATTAAAAAAAATGAAGTTGGGTGTATGTGTATAGTATAGAACAAGAAAAAGCAAAGTCATTGGAATGAAGGAGTAGGAAAAGAAAAGTTATAAATGTCATTAAATCAGAGCAGACATAGTCTCAACTCTCAACACTCCTAAGAAATTTAGCCCTTTTACTTTTTTCTGACTTCTAATCCACAGATCAGCCACACCATTTTCCTAAAGTCTTCCCCTTTTTCAACCATTTATTTATTACTCCTCATTTCTTTAAGAAATTTTTTCTTTGAAAATCTATATTTGACAAATAGTGTAGTTCATTTACTCTTTTGTTTTAGTTTGTTTTCTGTTTTGACTTGACATGAAATTAAACAAATTAAAATATCTAAATATCGAGCTCTTAAACCAAAAAAATGTATAGAATATACTAAAAATGTCGTTTAATTCTAAAACATATCATATGAAAAGTTGAAATTAACGAGTCGTCAAAAAAAAATTCATTTTAAAATGAGCTAAAACAAACAAATTGAAACAAAGGGGACGTTAACTCAATGATAAGAGTAATATTGAAAAAAAATAATAAATCTCTCATGATTTACTAATATGAACGACAAATTTAAAAAATTATTTTCCGTATATGGGACAAGTAAAAATAAATGGGAGAGTTACTCTATGCCAATTCATACATACATATTTTACCAAACAAAACCTAATTAAGAAGAAAACAAACTTCAGAATATGCCAAATTATATTAGAGTTTTGAAGCTTATAATTTAAAACATATCACAATATCAGTTTGGTAATAAGAAATTCTCATGAAAGATAAAATAAAAAGTTTGAATTAGTAGTTATTTTGATAGAGAAAGATATTATTTAAAATAAAAAACTAAAAAATAAATTTAGCTCAATTTTTTTAAAAAGACAAACATAGGCGTGCAGGAGTTTGTTCATTTTTTTCCTTTTAGTCGACAGAAACATAGACCCTATGCTTCTGCTCTTCTTTGACTATATTGTAGACCCTTTACTTTCACTGCCTAATTTTTGACTAAATGTCACATGTCTTGTAGTATGTTTGGATTTGGCTTAGTTTAAATGTTCTTGAATTAATAGTTCTTTTTTAAAAAAAAAGATTTTTATGGTGTTTAGAAAAAGAAAAACAGGTACACCTTCTATCCCTAATATTACTTATTTATTTTATTTTTGAGTTCAGACGACTATTAAAAACATCATTATTGATAAGTAAATTTGTCATTTTATCTATGAAATGAATAAATTAAAAAATTAATATTTTCAAGAAATTCTAGATAAAAAAATTGTCATTCTTTTATTTGTCAAAATTGATAAAGTAAAAAAGAAAAAATCCACAAGTAATTAATGAAGGGAGCATCTTTCTAATTGTTTTGATATTTTTAAGCAATTCCCAACTTTATAATTTTGAACTTATTTTTATTCCCAAAACACTTCCAGAAGTAAAAACCCAAAAAGAACTAAAAATAAGTCAGATCAAACACCCTCTTAAATTTTAAGTTAAAATATACTATTTCTAAAAAGTCAATTCAAACATCTATCTTAATTTTAGGGGTATTTGGATTTAACATTTTCTAAGTGCCCTAAAAAGTTAACAATCAAAAGCCAATAGTTATATATTAGGAATCCTCAACTTTTGTTTTTTTTTATACTTTGTAAACATTAAAAAGTGTTTTTAAGCACTTTTTGCAAACTCAAAATCCTTTCAAAACTTGAAAAAATGGTTAAAAGTCAAAAACCACTAAAAATAAGTCTTAGTACCCCAAGATACTCCAAAGAAAAATGAACATTCAACAGTCAAACAATTTTTCTACTACTATATTTAGTAATCTAAATGTCTAAATAGTATTTCAAACTAATTCAACATAAAATAGTGGAAAACACTCTATACATACATGTTGTGGAATCTTTCCGTTTTGGGAGCATTTCTCAAAAAGTATAAAATTTCACTCATATATGATAGCTCGCAAAAGCACTTAGAAAAAATATCACACACTAAACAAACCTTATATTTGTGACTATTATTTATTATTATTTTTTTTAAAAAAAGACACTTTTCATAGGACTTAATGAGATAATTTATTTTTAATAGTTGAGCATGTTGACGTGAGTCTACCAAACCAGGAAAGAAGATTACTTGAGAAAAAGATGTATATTTTATAATAAATAATAAGAATTAGAAATGAGAAAGTATATAACTAAAAATAATGGTAGAGTGGGTATTGGGATTGAATGTGAAGTTGGATGCACGTGTGATGTTGATACAAGAAAGAGTGAGGACACATGGGGCTACCCAACACCCCTTTTCGTCAGTACCAATTGCCAATTTCTCTTCTTTGTCGGCCACAAACCCCATCTTATGAATCCTATACATTTTTCTTTTTTCCAAATTACATACGTACTAAACCCAAATAAAATGGAGAACTTCTTTTCACCAGAAAAAATTTATTTTTAAATTTTTATTTTATTTTTTTAACTTTAATATTCTCCATCCCTAATTACTCATTCATTTTTAAATAAATATATTTATTAAAAAAGATTTATAATTAATAACATAGTTGATTTATTATTTTACGAATTGAAAATTTAATATTTTCAAAAATTTCTACCTTTTTTAAATTAATTAATTAAGAATATAATATGAAAAAATGGTCTCTCTGTCAAAATGAACACGTTATTACGGACAACTATAAAAGGAAAAGTCAACAAATAAATACCGACAAATGGAGTACTTCCTAATTAAATAAAAATAATTTTATTTTAAAATTAAAAAAATATAATGAACATTTTAAATTTTTTACCCTTTTTTTTTATTATTTAGCATAATCCAAAAAAAAAATTAACACACAAGATTTTCCTTTTTTTTTATGAATCCGTCAGCGGCGACAAGTTGCCCAATTGATATAATCACCAGCCTTCCGGTACTTTTTTTTTTTTGGGCAATGATGAAAAAAAGGAGGAAAAAAGAATTCAAAAGTAAGTTTACAAATAACAAAAAAGTTACAGAATGTTGTTCCTCGAGTACTCAAGTGTAGCAAAATAAAGTATTGTGGTACGTAAATCAATGAGGAGGAGTAGAGGACTTTAAAGATGAATTTTTTTGAGAACAAATCAATCATGGGAATATTTATAATATCTAACCCATAGTTTAGATCTAACTTTAGTTAATCAAATCTACATCATTAACATTAAAAATTGGACATATGCCATCCATCCATCCATCCAAGTAAGGAGTTAACAAAATGGAGATGAAGACAATGAGAAATGGACAAGAGCCGAAAGAGTATACAACTTGATTTGTATTTGTATCGATGACTTAAAAGACTCTATTAATCAAAATTGTCAATAGTAATGACACTAGTAATTCTCTATTAGAGTTTGTGGAAATTTTTTAAGCTCAAGGAAGGAATGAGTAGAGATACTCGATTATTTGCTTGGATGAGAATTTAGATAAGTAGATAATTCATCTAACAGGTCAAACATGTGGGTACCAACTTTAGGGTCCACTACATAAATTCTATCATCCATTTAATTAATAATAATATTCTCTACGTAACATTCTCTTATATACTTTTTAAAAAATATATATATATATATATCACAATCATATAGTTAATTAAAATCATTAAATTCTAATAAAGTGATTATTTTTCTCCCCTTAAATTAAAGATGCAACGTATAAAGTACATAAGTAGTGTGATTTGATTTAAAAAGAGGATTAAATGGCAAACTTAAGAGTAGAAATAATTAATTAGAATGGAACGAACCTTAAGTAGTGATAGAGCACGGGGTGTCTCCGTGAGGAATTTTACAGCAAGGGTCATGATGGTGGAGGTAGTTTCATAGCCAGCAACAAGCAACGCCAGTATAAAATCAACAATTTCCTCATCGGAAAATCCTACTCCTTCAACTCCGTCTCCTTCGAACAATGCCTCCAACATATCATTCTTTCGTTCTCCTCCGTCTCGTTCTTTTCTCCGATCTCTCACTACCAATCCCAACGCCTCCGCTACTTTCGTTCTCGCCTGAAAAATACATACAAAATGATTATTCACCACCAACAAGTAAAAGCTAATTAATTGAATTAGATTTATAATACATACTTGAATGGCCTTGCGATAGGTGGATGAGAAAATAGGCAAAGGAATGCAGAAGAAACCTTCAATAACAAGCATATACTCTTTCATCAGATTCTCTGTCCACTCACATGGATCAAAACTCATCAACTGCTTCACTGTTAGATTAAACGTTATCTGCACATACATCACAACCAAAAATTTAAAAATAAAAAAAAAGTCATGATAACACCACATTCACATGTGTTATCATCATAATAATTACTCGTACATAATAATACTACTATGTCTCCATTAATTAATTAATTTTGGAAAAGTAATCATACCCCACCACAACTACACTAAAGTTGTTATTCTCTAATCCATCAAAACTCAACAATCCGAATTGAAAAATAATTAAATAAAATGATTACCTTCTTAGCCTCGTCCATGAGGAAAACCCTGCCGGTCCATGAATCCAAATTAAGCCTAACCAATCGATCTATATCGCCCAACAGATGATCTTTAAGAATGGAAGAATTAGCAAAACTCATAGTTAATGAATGCATTCGTTTGTGTAGACTTCCTCTCATAAGCAACAGAGAGTATCTCCCAAGTAAATTCTGTATCGAACCGGGATAACTCGACTCAAAAAGCCGACCTTCATTCTGCAAAATAAACCGGTTCGTTTCCGGGTCAGCAGAGAAAACCGTCGGTTCACCAAAAACATGGGTCGTGAAAATGCTGCCGTATTTTGAAACACGGTCATCGATGAACGGTTCAGGATTTTCCGTTTTGTACGCAGAAATTAACTGGAGGGTTTCTCCGATAAACGGGAGGCCAAGGGTTCCCGGCGGGAGTCGAGTTTTACGCCCGCGAAGATGGGCCGCCGCCATACACCGGAGGAGATAAAAGGTGAAAACAGAGAGAAAAAGATAGAGAAAAAGATCGATGGTATCCATGTTAATTAATTTTTTTTTGTATGCAAAACGCTCTGCGGATGGAAGGATGGATGCCTACTTATGTACTAGTTAGTCACAACGGTGAAAACATGAAAATGAATAAATTGACCCTTTTTCTTATTATTTTATTATTATTATTAATAGAAAAGGAAAATCAATCAATTGACAAGAAAGGGTAATTTTTTATTTTATTAATGGAAAATAAATAGATTGACAAGAAAGAGATCAACATTTTATAAAAAGGGAGTTTTCGGATTAATCGCGGTTAGACACTGTTAAAACACTTTAGCTAATTTTTTTTATTTTAAATTAAAATTATATAGGTCAAAAATTACAAGTCTAATTTAAATATATTCTTAGAATCTGTCTGGGTTGACTTAAAGGCTGGTCAAAGCTAATTTTAAGTTATTTTTAGCTTTTATGAATATTAAGTAAAGTTAAAAATAATTTAAATAAAATTATATTGACTTTAAAAAAAATTAAAAATCAAGAAACAGAAATCTACTTACTTTTTTCGTGAAGTCAATTCAGACAGGCTCTACGATTTTTATGTATTAAGGATCGTTTGTTAGAGTGTATTAAAAAAAATAAAGAATGTGTTAACGTTGTGTATTACTATTACCTTATTTGATGCTCGTTTTCAACCTATGTATAACTAATGCACTCTATTGTTAATATCATGATTTTATAAATATTAGCAATGCAATGCTTTTTATGCATGCATTAACTCAATTAAAGACTCAATTGTCTCTAGTACCTTTTTATATTTGTTCCATCATAACAATTAAGGGTATCTTTGTAAATAATTTTCTTAATGCAATGCATCAAACCAAACAATAAAAAAAATATTCTATATATAATTAATACTAATATAATTAATATATACATTATTAATATAAATATTACTAATAGACTATATTTTACATTATTTAATATATTCTATCAAACAACCTCTATATATTTGACTACATATACAAAGTATCTTAATGACTAAGATCTTGGGGAAGTCTAACAGCTCTTATACAAATGATTATATGTTAAATTCTTTAGTCAATTCTTTTGATCGTTATAAAAAGAATTAAAAATAAATTATATTTATTAATTATTTTATTTATAAAAATAAGAAAGTTAAGAGTAATTTAAATAACAAATTGTATTATTACTTATTTATTAGTATTTGAAAATGTCGAGTGAATATCACAATTTAAAAAAAAATATGTAACTGTTATTTTTTAATTTATCATTGGTCTTCAAGTTTTTGTTCGATATCTTAGAATTATCATATTTTATTATTTGAAAGTATTTTTTTATTTATTTATGAATGAGTGATGTTTTTATTATAATAATAATAACTTACTCCCATTATCTTTAGGTACTTGTCCACTTTTGAGACATACCTATTAAGAAATTAATAGCGAACATAATGAGTTTAATATTTTATCCATATTAATTATGAAGTGGATGAATTAAAAACTTAATATTTTCAAGAAGTTCTTTCTTTTTCAAAGTAATTAGCTGAGGGTATAATAGGTAAAAAAATATTTTTTCTTGATTTGTCGTAATGAACAAGTAATAAGGGACGACTAAAAAAGAAAATGTGAAGAAGTAATTAGGACAAAGAGAGTATCGACTAGTCCCTCCGTTTCTTTTTATATGTCATCCATTTGTATAAAATAGTTGGACCATAATACTTGTCATTTCGTAAAATCAATGCATAAATTATCATATTCTTAATATTATATCATTAATAAAAATAGTTAATTGATCATCTTGAAAATATATACTTTGATCAACCTAGGATAACTCATAAAATATTCATTGGAGTACTTCATATATTGATTAAGTACTCTCTCCATTCACTACTTCATAAAATCTTACTTTGAAAATAAACTCAAAACTTTAAATAATCATCCAAATATATTTTAAATTTTGAAATTTAGCATATAAATCATTTATTATAAAATTGACTGAAGAAAACATTAAATAAGGGTAGAAAGGTAAAGTTACTTGAGTTCTTAATGCAATTGCAATCTTAAAATGTGACATATAAAAAGAAATGGATGGAGTATTATTCTTAGAGAGTTAAAATTGGATAAGGATTCGGTCAAGTATAATTAGGTCAAGTAATGTTTAATGACCTTATACATTTATGTCATGTGTATTATATAATAATTTATGGTTGAAATTCATTTAAATTATATTCTCATTATAATAATAGCTAAAAAAATAACAAGGTTGTCAACTTTTTTATTTTTTTAAAGGAAAATGCACAAGTACCCCCTTAACTTATGCCCGAAATTTAAGAGACACATGTATACTATACTAAGTTCCTATTACCCCCCCCCCCTCGGAACTTATTTTATAAGTAATTTTCTACCCTTTTTCGGTCTACGTGACACTAGCTTGAAAAAAAAGTCAACCAGCGTTGGACCCAACAACATAGTGCCACGTAGGCTGAAAAGGACCAAAAAATTAACAAAATAAGTTTTAAGGGGGTAATAAGACCTTAGTATAGTATAAGCGTCTCTCTGAGATTTTGGGCATAAGTTGAGGGGGTACTTGTGCATTATCCCTTTTTTAAAACTATCAAGTAAAGCAATTAACTCTACCAAGCTAGTATTTTCAAGAAATAAATTAAGATTGGCAAAAATATGCGAAGTTCTTAAATTTTTACCCGCCAAACTTTTTTGGGAGCAATTTCACACACGTTTTCATGAAATTCTGGAGTAATCTCCAAAAATAGATCAAACTTATAAAATCATTGAATTCTAAATAGTAATTCAATTAAAGAACATGATTATACATTAAAAAAACTTATTGTAGAGGTTTTCAAATAATTATAAAAATATATTTATTTAGATTCTTCAAGAGTGTTGGTTTCCTTAAAATTAGAATAAAGATCTAATACAAGTACGAGGTTTAGCAGGTAAAAGAGTCTAGAAGTCCGTATATTCCTGTCAGTCTTTTTTTTTTCTTGAAAATATTAGCAAGGTATACTTAATTATTTTTTTATTGTTTTAAAAAATAAAAATAGTTAATGACTTTGTTGCATTATTAAAATGAGTATATAATTTGAATAGATCAATCATAAATTATTATATAGTACACATGACATAAATTTATAGGGTAATTGAACATTACTTGACCTAATTATACTTGATCGAATTTTTGTCCGATAAAATTGCATAGTATAAGATTAATTCTGACTCAAATCTCAATTTTTATCTCCAATTATAAAGAAATTTCTGCATATTTGGAGAAAATCAACTCCAACCCGCAACTTTATTTTTCATTCTAAAAAGAATCTTCTATTCTCTCTTCAAAATTATATTTTTACTAGTCAACTGAACCGCGCTTTGCGCGATATTAATATTTCAAAAATTAAATTGAAATAAATAATATTTTATTTAAACCCACAATTTTTTCTTTTACATATCAACAAATGATACCAAAAAATAAAATAAATCATTAAAATAAGGTGAAACGCCATAAAAATAACCATAAGAAAAGATAATTATTTTGTTGAATTAGATTTCCCTCGTAAAAAAAATAACATTATTTATTTTTTAAAATCTATGTCCGAACACTTACTTAAAAGATACAAAGATGTTAAAATTTTAAATGGACTATGCATATTTAAAACTGCATCTCAAATGAAAAAAATTGTAAAACTAATATTTCGAATCTACTTTATTCATTACGCTCTTTCTTCCCCTTTTTTGCTATCACGCCAATTGTTCATTAAATCTTATTTTAACACTATGTGCCCATAAAAAAATACCATTACATGTTATTCAAAATCGATATTAAAAAATAATCAAAATGAGTAATGGCCTAATGAAAAACTCAAAAGGAAAAAGGAAATAGTAGCAAAGAATTGACACTGTAATAACCATTAAAAATTATAGAATTTCAATATATTTTTAAATGTTTTTTTTCATACAGGTTTTGGACTTTTAAATATAAAGGATCGTTTGTATTGAATTATTTTAAGTAGCTTATAGACTTTAAAAATTAGGAAAAAATGTAATTAAAGTAAATTAAATATTGATGCATAATTTTATTTTAGCTTTATTATTATAATAATTATTATTACTATAGATTATATAATAACGATAGTGTATAATATTATTGAAAAACAATTAAAAAAACAAGCAAATTTTATAAAATTACTTTTTGCAATTCTTATTAAGTTATAATAATATATTTCTAGGAATAAAAAAAACATAAGGAAAGGGAATAAAATAAAAGAAAGAAAGGAGAATAAATGATTTAAGAAATAATATAAATAATAATAATTATGAGATTAAGGGAAGGAAGTAAAAGAATTTAATAGCAGTAATGATTATACGAATTATATATAGTTATTTTTGCTATTTTATAAATATTGATGTAAAATTATCAGTCTTTAAAAATTAGAAAAAATGTAATTAAAAATAAATAAATATAAATGCTAAACTAAGAAGGGTGTT